TCCCCTTTACAACTGGCTTCTTTGGTTTCTGATTCTGCCCTCTAAGGCCAGGCAAACAATACAAATCTAATCTCTTTTCTACATGGTGTTCTTTTTGGGTACTTGAAGGCAGGTATCATGTTCCCCCTGAGTCTCTCCTCCTTCTCCTCCTCCTTTTTCTTCCTAACCATCCCTAGTTCCTTCATGGCATGATCTCAAGTCCCTTCTTCTATCTTGGTTGCCCTCCTCTCTATATTCTTCAGCTTATCAACATCCTTCCTAAAATGTGGCTCCCAGAACTGAACACAATATTCCAGGTATGGTATGACCAGGGCAGAAAACTGTGGGACCATCCCCTTCCTAGTCCTAAACACTATATCCATCTTAACGTAGTCTAAAAATCACATTAGTCTTTTGGCCATCATATTACACTGTTGACTTATCATGACCTTGCCATCCACTAAAACTGTCAGATCTCTTTCAGACAGACCCATGTCTAACCACACCTCCCCCATCTTTTACCAGGGCAGTTGATTTTTTGAACCCAAGTGTATGACTTTACATTTATCACATTTTATTTTATGAAAGTCAGCCCAATATTTTAGACTTCCACAATCTTGCTGGATCCAATGGACCTTTTACAGACACAACCAATACTCATAGCCTGCTCATCTTGGTAGGATCTGCCAGAGCTCATATTCCCTTGGTACATAGAGTCTTCAAGAACCTAGGGCCACCTCCATGCTATCATAAAGCATCACAAGAAGGCCATAGCAAAGAAAAAATATATATACAATGCTGACAAGGAATACAATCTGAGTTCAGAGAAGGGAGAAATCAGTGAGGGACAGGGAAGGTTTGAAGGGTAGTGCAAAAAGCATTGGTCAAGAGTCATTCTCAGGGCAGCTAGGTGGCTTGGTGGATAGAGCACTGGCCCTGAAGTCAGGAGGCTCTGAGTTCAAATCCAGCCTCAGACCAAATGTTTGACACTTATTAGCTGTGTGACCCTGGGCAAGTCACTTAACCCCAACTATCTAAAGAAAAAAAAAAGAATCCATTCTCAGCCTGACTCTCCCAATAATTTGCTGTGTGACTTTGGACAAATCTTTTAATTTCCCTGAACTTCAGTTTTCTCAGCTGTAAAATGAGGGTAATAGTATTTTCCCTATCTAACTCCTTAGATTGTGGTAGGGATTGAGTTAGATGGTGTTTTCAAAGTGCTTTGTCACCATAAATATCAAATGGAAAAAAAAACCCACCTCAGAAAATCACAGAATGTCAGATGGAAGAGACTTTATGGCACAAAATGGTAGAAGTGGTACAGAATAGCCCTTGGTACAGAACAGAATGTTAAAGATTAAGGAGAACTTAGAACACAGAATGTCAGACCTGGGAGGGCCCTTAGAATATGGAATGTCATAGGAGAGCCCTTAGAACACAGAATGTCAGAGGTGGGAGGGCCCTTACAGCACAGAATGTCAGAGCTGGGAGGGGCCTTAGAGATGATCAATCTAGTTCAACACTCATTTTGCAGAGGAAGAAAGAGGCCCTGAGATGGGACTTGAGAGTGGTCATGGAGTTAGTGACTGTGTCAAGATTAGGACCCAAGTCCTCTGGCTCCCAATCAAGTGCTTCCTTCAGTGTCTGTGGGCAGTGCACCCACACCCTGTTCTTCAGGACTAAATGAACATCCATGAATCTGGGGAGTGGCAGGCAAAAGCTAGCACACACGTTCTCTGGTCCTATCCTTACATCTACTGCAATAGGACAAAAGTGACCTGGTGTTGAGTGCCATTTTGTGCTTTCATGCTGGACGGGTCCAGGGCTCAAAAGGTTGCAGAGGAGGCAGTTTTTCCTCTTCCTCAGAAACAGATAAAGACATTATTAGAATGGATAGAACCCTGGGTCTGGAGTTAGGAAGACACATATTCAAACGCACCCTCTGACAGCTGAATAACCTTGAGCAATTCACCTTTGTTTGCCTCATTTTCCTCAACTGTCAGATGGGGATAATGACAGCTCCTACCTCCCAGGGCTGTTGTGAGGATCAAATGAAATAATATTTTTAAAACACTTAGCACAGTGTCCTGCACATAGTAGGTGCTTAATAAATGCTTATTTCCATCCTTCCTATTACAGGTTTTTAGATCAGGCTGTGCCCCCATGGCCCTAAGGAGGCAGTGCTGGCCTTGGAGTTGAGAGGCCTGGGTTGGAGCACTAGCTTTCCTTCTCACGAGCTGTGTGGCCTCAGGTAAGTATAGTTCCCTCTCTGAGGCAGTTTCCTCAACGATGAAGGGAGGTTGAGGACCAAAATGACATCGCTATGTAAGAGTCAAGTTACAGTGTGTCAAACTGTGGCTGATCAGACCAAAATGAGCCTAGAATGTTCTACCACAGGTCGGGCACAGACAGTCCATGGGAACATTTCAGATGGATTCTTTAAATTTGCGTATCTCGAGTTTCTTTTGAACAACTTCATTTCTGCTCTGCCCATACGGCACAGCACGTTCTCTGATAAAGGGATGCCAGGCTGAGCCGTCCTATGCCACTGTCTCCCTGTCGTGTAATCAGTTTATAAAAGCTGTGTCATGAGGTGATTTGACCACAAAGTGTTTTGTAAATCTTAGAGTGCTGAAGAGGAAATTGTGAGCCATTCTTCCCCCAGGGTTCACGGCCAGAAGTCTCTGTAGGGAGCTGAAGCTTCGAGGCAGTGGCTGCCCAATCCCACACTTGTGTACATGGTTCTAAATTTTCAGAGACATCTTTTCCCACAGTGTTAGCTGCCCCTGGGAAAGGCACTTTGAACTTTCTGCATCTCCATTTTCAGTTGTTTCAGTCATGTTCGACTCTTCCTGACCCCATTTGGGTTTTTTTTTTTGGCAGATACTGGAGTGATTTGCCATTTCCTTCTCCAGCTCATTTTACAGATGAGGAAACTGAGGCAAATAGGGTTAAATGACTTGCTTAGGGTCATTCTATTCATTGGGCATTCTATCTACCATGCCATCTAGGTGCCCAATCTCCAATTAATTTTAGTCAATAAAGGGTTTACAACCATTTGCCAAATACTACGTTAGACACAGTTGTCTAGTTGTTTTTCAGTTGCGTCTGACTCTTTGTGACCCCATTTGAGGTTTTCTTGGCAAAGATATTGGAGGGGCTTTCCATTTCCTTCTCCAACTCATTTTACAGATGAGGAACTGAGGCAAATAGGGTCAAGTAACTTCCCCAGGGTCACCCAACTAGTAAGAGTCTCGGGTCAGATTTGAACTCAGGAAGATGAGTTTTCCTGATTCCAAGCCTAGAGATACTTCACCACCTACCCCTGTCAGATACCAGTGATACAAAAATAAAAACAAATAATTTCTGCCCTCAAGCAGCTTACATTCTCAGGTGGGAGATAACAGGTACACATATATCAAATATCATAGGTAGGGTGGGGCATTACTATCTAGGGGGACCTGGAAATGTTTCCTCTAGGAGGCAGTACCTGAGGTGAGCTTTGAAGGAGGCTCAGAATTCTAAGAGGCAGAGGTGAGAAGGAAGTGTATTCCAGGCCTGGGGGCACAGCCTGGCCAAAGACACAGGTAGAATTTCATGAATGAGAAGCCAGAAGCTTGGTACTGTCTTTGCTAACAACCTCTTTTTTTTCCCCCTAGAAATACCTAAAGAGGGAAGAGCCAGCCTTCCTCTGAAACTCAGCTCTTGACCCTGAGATTGCAGCTCTGTTATCTGCCTATGAACTCCGCATTTGGAAACCTTGGTGCCTGGGAACGCAATCTCTGACCTTCCACAGCTGCCAGTGCTGTGGGTAGAACCATATGGGACACCTACTTCCCTATGGAGTTTGTCTGGCGGGAAAGGGCTATCCCAATCAATTTCCCAGCATGGCAATGTGCTAGGGCCTGTATTAGATAAGCAGGTTGTGACCATGTTAAAACACAGGACGTCACAGCTGGAAGGAACCTGAGAGGCCACCTAATCCAACTCCCTTATTTTACAGTTGAGGAAACTGAGTCCCAGAGATGGCAAGTGATAGGCAAGTCAGCAGCAGAGCTAGAATGTGAACTTATCTCTTCTGAGCAATCAATTAACCAGCAAGCATTTGTTATTTGCCTTTGGGTATTATGCATTGAAGACAGATGTAAATGAATTTTTTTAAAAAAATTCTCATCATGTTTCAAGATGAACTCTGGGTAGACACAGAGCCTGCTGATGGAGCCTGGTTTCCAGAATATGTAGGTGACCTCTGGTTTTAGGCCATCGGGAATCTAGTGTTGCATCAGAAAAAAGAGAGAGAGAGAGAGAGAGAGAGAGAGAGAGAGAAACAAACAAACAAAAACCATGGCAGCCATGTCAGAAGCCAAGAAAGTACTAGGCAGTGGAGAGAGCAACCCAATCTTAAACCCAGAATCATGAGTGAACACCCTGATGTTGGTGTTACCATGTTATGGCCAGATGGTAATAAATTCTGAGTGCATTCATAAAGATTTAGTATGCAGGAAACTAACTTTAAAAAATAGATCTGTATTGATTTTTTTAAGTTTTTGAATCATTTAGATTTCCCCCTCTATTCCTTCCCCTCTCTATTCCCAGAGAACCATCTCTAATAAGGAATCTTTTTGAAAAAAGAAAAAAAGGAAGAAGAAAAAAACATTCAGCAAAACTGATTAACCCATTGAAAAGGAAAAAGATTTTGACCCCTAATTAGAAGTCTCCTTAGCATATTCTTCATACCATTATAGGCTCATAGGATTTTTACTTGGAGACTTTAGAGATCATCTCTTTCAACATCTACTTTATAAAGATGAAGATGCTCATAGAATCATAGGACCATAGATTCAGAGCTGGAAAAAACCTAAAAGACCATCAAGTCCAGCAGTTTCATTTTATAGATGAGGAAACTGAGGTACAAAGTGGTTAGGTGACTTGTCCAGGGTCACACAGCTAGTAAGTGTCTGTGGTGGGATATGAATCCAGGTCTTCCTGACTGCAGGTCCAGTGCTCTGTCTCTCATACCACACTGCCTCTCACAATCTTAGAGTGGAAGAGCTGGAAACTACTACCCACTTCTCAGGGTAGTGGTGAGGAAATTGTTCCGTAAATTTGAAAGTGCTAGAAAAACAAATGAGTTCTTTTTTTTTTTTTAAAGATTTCACCTAGTTCAACTGCTTCATGTTATAGACGTCCAAAGAGGGGAAATGACTTACTTAATGACACAAACATAACAATTAAAATCCCGAGCCAGGATTTGAATCCACATGCCAAGGCTCTAAGTCCTGCATCCTTTTTCCTACATCATGTGACCTCCAGTGGCCTGGGACCATGGTCTTTTCCTTTTGATTTCTAGCCTCTACCCAACAGAAGGGTGAATCAGGCTACAACTCATTCCATGGGCATGAACCTGCAGAAAGGTTTGTGAAAGTGGGAAGTTGATGGAAGGCTAGAGATCCTCTAGAATGCCCCTCCAGAACCAGTCAACTGAGGACTCTCCATGGACCCCTCCAAGCAAACCCCTGAACTCAACTGAAATATCAGGGGCATGGGATGCATGGACGCTCCAGGCGCTCAAGATCTCTCTGGCTGTGATTTTAGCTATCATAACTCTAGCCACCATTCTCTCCAACACTTTTGTGATCATCACAATATTTCTTACTAAGAAGCTCCACACACCAGCCAATTATCTCATCGGCTCCTTGGCGGTGACAGACCTCTTGGTCTCCATTTTGGTGATGCCCATCAGTATTGCGTACACCGTCACCCAAACCTGGACCTTTGGGCAGATCATGTGTGACATCTGGCTGTCCTCAGACATCACATGCTGCACCGCCTCCATCCTCCACCTCTGTGTTATTGCATTGGACCGATACTGGGCCATCACCGATGCCCTGGAATATAGTAAGCGTCGAACCTTTGGCCGGGCAGCGGCCATGATTGCCATGGTCTGGGTCATCTCTGTGTGTATCTCCATCCCCCCACTTTTCTGGAGGCAGGCCAAAGCTCATGAAGAGCTGGCTGACTGCCTCGTGAACACATCCCAGATCTCCTACACCATCTACTCCACTTGTGGTGCCTTTTACATCCCTTCTGTGCTGCTCATCATTCTCTATGGCCGGATCTATGCTGCTGCTCGAACTCGGATCCTGAAGCCACCTTCCCTGTATGGCAAGCGCTTCACCACTGCTCATCTCATCACTGGTTCTACTGGCACCTCCTTGTGTTCCATCAACTCTAGCCTCCAGGAAGGGCAGCCCCACACAGGGGAATCACCGCTTTTTATCGGCCCTGTGAAAATCAAGCTAGCTAGCAGCCTCTTGGAAAAGAAGAGGATCTCAGCAGCCAGGGAGAGGAAGGCTACTAAGACATTGGGGATTATCCTGGGGGCCTTCATCATCTGCTGGCTGCCCTTCTTTGTTGTATCGCTAGTCCTACCCATCTGCCGAGACTCCTGCTGGTTCCACCCAGCCCTCTTTGACTTTTTCACATGGTTAGGCTATTTAAATTCCCTCATTAACCCAATAATTTACACTTGGTTTAATGAAGAATTCAAACAAGCATTCCAAAAACTAATAAGGTTCAAAAGAAAGCCCTCATTTTAATCTTTTCCTGCTTGCTGATGAATCCCTCTACCATTTGTCTGTTAAAATCTAGAGGACATATATTTCATACAGTTCATAAATTAAGCCATTCACCCAATAACTCAAATGCCAAATGTTTTCCCTTTTACTCCCCCCCCCCAAAGGTCACCAGTTACTTCCTCACCCCTTAGGCCTGTACTATATTTTGTCCCTCTCTAATGCACTTATCATGGTGTATTTAGTTTTTATATTTTTATATTTTTATTTTTTAGGCAATTGGGGCTAAGTGTACACTGCACCATCTAGCTGCCCCTGTTTGTGTATTTTTTGTATTTACTTAACCTGTGCCCATTTCCTCCCAACAGAATGTAAGTTCCTTGAAGGCAGGAACTGTTCTTGATTTCATCTTTTATATCTCTGGCATTTAGCAAATGCTTGCCATATTGAATTCAATGTAACATTGTATATCATAGCTATCTGTGTTTTTTTTTCTTCTCCCTCTTTTAAACTATGAGCTCCATGAGGACAGGGGCTGGGTCTTCTCTAAACTTTGTATCTCTCCTAAGTGCACAGAGCAGTATTGTATACATAGTAGCTGCTCAATAGGCATTTACTGAATTGAAACAATATTTTCAAAATCCCTGCCCTCTGGGCAGCCTTTTGCTAGGCACTGTCAAGGATGCAAAGATAAGACACAATCCCTGTTTGAAGGAGCTTCCAGTCTAGAAGGAGATAAGACAGTTAAGTATGATGCAAATTGGAATATGATAAATGCGTAAGAGGAAGAAGAATCGCTACATAACAGAACCCAGTTTGAAGTGTTCTTTTTTTTCCAGGGACTTGGATATTCCCAAAGCACCGTTCTGGTCTTACTCTTCCTAATGCCTCCATTTTTCTTGAGCCTCCCCTCCCCCAATCATGTGACTGCAAATGAACAGAAACACAATTAAACTTTGCCCAACAGAGGAGCTGGCAGAGATTTAGCTGACCCCAGGCTTCTGCCTTGGGGAAGTTCAGGAGAGAAGGCCTCTGATCCCTGGGAAGAAGAGCCAAGCCTATGGAGAAGATTTATCCAGAAAAGGCCTTCTTATCTGTGGTAGATGTATTTCAAAATAAATGATCAACGGAATCCATTGACTTGGATCCAGGGAATCTAAAATCAAAAGAACCCATTGATTTGGGTCCAAGGAGTCCAAAATCAAGGGAATCCACTGACTTGGCTCCATCAATGATTTCTTGAATCTACAGAGAATCTGGGGACAGGATGGCCAAGGCAATTAGTTCAACCTGGTGATTTTAGAATTGGTTTTATTCACCTCAGGATGATTAGAGAGTCCTGAGGACACCTAGGGCAAGAACCTAGGATTCCAAAGACTGTGGTATATTGGAATAGATTCTAGAACACAAAGTACTGTTAGGCCTGGAAGGGATCTTCATGACTCTGTTACTCAACTCTCTTGTTTTATGTGAAGCAGGATGCATGTTAACATAGAAGTATGTTGTCTAGATTAGAAGCAATACTAGACCTGAAAGGTGTACCTGGAGACCACCACACAACCCCATACATGCAAATTTGTCTTCTTTCTCTTTCTCTCCAGGTTCAAAGGCAATCCAGTGGATACAGTTTGGAATATTTTTAGAAATCACTAGAGAATGCAAAACTCTCTCAGAAACTGAGGCTTGGGGAAGGCAAGTGGTCTGCCCATGGTCAAGTTCAGGGGTACCATTTCTTTTGGCACCTGAGCAGTGTAAACAGCATTGCCTGATTCAGCCCCTCTTGAGATGGATCTCCCTCACACTTTTGGAGGAAAAAAAACTAAGACTATTTTTGGTGCTTGAGATACACAGAGATCTGGAGGTTGACCCAGAAAGAGCAGGCAAGGATCCTCTCATATCCCATGATGCACATCTGCTCTATGTGAGCACTGATGACAGGCATGCATCACTGCTTCTGTAAATAGAGGATGGAGGCATTGGGCTTCCACTACAATAGCAGAGAAGAAGACAAACCCACAATGAGGGAAGACTGCCATTTTGTCCGTAGATCAGAGATTCAGAAAAATTAGCTTCCTCCCTCCCTCTGGCTTATTTCGCACTAGATTCTGTTCTCAACTCCTGTGCATATGACTTGACCCGCACTCCATGTGCTTCCATCTATGTGGCAATTCCCCTGCTTTTGGCTCTCTTGATGGAATTCCAGTTTGTTATGTGTCCTGGCTTCTGATTCCCACTTACCTGGGCCTCATGTTGCTTGCCCTAGACATGATGATTACAGCACTCTCTTGTGCAGTGCCAGCTGACTGGCCAGAGCACTTTTCTCAGTGTTCTCCAGCAGCTCTCTTGCTCACTGTAGCAATGTTACAATCTGTGTTCCTCCCATGAAGCACTGTAATATGGCCCTAGAAGGACTGAGCATTAAATGAGTAATAAGAAGGGAGCATTGTCCAAAATTGTTTTTACACCGTTGACTGTCATCTGGCTTCTTAGAGATGGAGTCTTCTATAATAAAAAAGCATGTGACATTATCAATGGATATCAATCTTTTAAGTTATTTCTTCCTCCAAGCCCTGGATGGAATGGCATCCAGATGTTAAATCAGGATATAAGTGAAAGCCACATCCGTGTCCCAGAAGAGAGCAGCCAGGATAGTGAGGAGTTTGGAAACCACATCACACAAGCATTTGTAGAAGGAAGTGCATGTGTTCAGCATAGAAAAAAGAAGAGTTAGTGGAGAACATGGTAGGTGGCTCCAAACATTTTCAGGCTTTTCAGAATCATAGACTCTCCAAGTTAGAAGAGACCCAAGAGGATATCTCCCTTCTTCACCTCTCTCCAACATCCCCAGTGGGTGGTCATCCAGCCTTACCTGGAAGACCTAAAATAGAGGGCTACTTGCCACCTCTGCAGACAGACTATTCATGCTTTTGGAGAATTCTCTCTCATTGTAAGGAAGTTTTTGTGAAGTCAAGCTTAAAGCTGCTTCTCTAATTTTCCCCAAGTGATCCTAGTTCTGCCCTCTGGAGAAAGCGGAATGCTTTTCTACACAGTAGCCCTTCAAATATTTGCTGGTATATTTTATAGTGAACACAGCCCAACTTCACTAATGACTTCACTTAGGCTAAACTCCCAGTTCCTTTAAATGATCATCCAGTGACATGTTTTCCGTACTCTTCACCTTGGTGCTGAAAATGCCAAATACTCTTCATTTCATAATGAAGAAGAGTTAGGTTCCCATTTGCATTACATTGTACCAATGTGGGAGAATTAACATCAATGGTTGGAAGTTATCAGAGGTCATAATTTGTCTCAATATTAAGGAAGAATGACCTAACAATGAAGCTATCCAAAAAGGAAATGGGCTGTCTTATAAGGTAATGTGTTCTCCATCACTGGAAGTCTTTAAGCACAGCTTAGATGGCCTCTTTTTGGAAAAATGCTATAATCTCTCTCTTTTTTCAATTATCAACATCTTTTCATCCCCTCTTCCTCCCCAAGGGGAAAAAAAAGGAAACACAAAATCCTTATAACAAACAAGCATTGTCAAAGAAAACAACAACAACAAAACTTCTTCATTGGCCACATCCCAAAACATGCCTCCTTCTATGTGTTACTCTACATTACTTCTCTGTTGTGGGTTGGGTAGCATTCTTCATCATGTGTCCTCTGCTATCATGGTTGATCATTACACTGATCAGAATTCTTATGTGCTTCAGAATGGCTCATTTTTACAATACTGATGCTGACATAGAAATTCTCCTGGTCCTGCTCTCTTCACTTTGCATCAGTTCATGAAAGTCTTCCTGGGTTTCTCAGAAACCATCCTTTTCATCATTTCTTTCTTTCCTTCCTTCCTTCCTTCCTTCCTTCCTTCTTTCTTTCTTTTTTTAGGCAGCAATTCCTTGTTTTTATTTTTTTTAAATAAAGATCATAATTCCTATTTGTTTTAAATTTAATATTTGTCTATTTGCCTCCCCCCCCCAAAAAAAGGCTTAGTAGTAGTATATCTGAATTAAGGGGTATGCATAATTTAGTACCTTTTGGGGGGCACTGTTTCAAATTTCTTTTCAGAATGGCTAAAGCCAGGGATGAGGAACCTACTTCCTCAAGGCCACATGTGGCCCTCTAGGTTCTCAAATGTGGCCTTTTTGAGTCCAAGTTTTACAGAACACATCCTTTTATTAGAGATTTCGTTAATCACAATTCCACAATAGTGTAACCGTGGGTCTACTTTCCAGTAGCTTCTCCAACATTTTTTTTTTTACTAAGACCTTCATTGGTTTTTCCATAATTCAGAGTTCAACTTTCCTTAATGATTTTCTCATTTATAGTCAACGCCCATATGGTTCTCTTCATTCTGCTTATTTCTCTCTGGAATAATTCCTTGAAACTTTCCCATATTTCTCAGAATTCCTCATATTTTTCATTGCACACTACATAACAATCTGCCATTCAATTCATCAATTCATATGTCATTGTTTTGAGGAGCATTTCCTAATCAATGTTATACACCCCAAAGGGTACAGTGCTGAATATTCTTGCCTACATTGGACCTTTGCTTACATTTCTTATTTCCTTGGCGTAAATGGCCAAAAGTAGTATTGCTGGGTCATAGGGCATGAATAATTTCATCAGTTCTTTTTTTGGGGGGTGGGGAGGAGATAACTGCATATTGAAATCCAGAAGAGGATAGCTTCTCAGATTCATTAAGAGTGCATCAGAGTACCCATCATCTCACAGTCCTTCCAAAATTGACTTCCTTTTGTCACCTATGCCAACTTACACAGTACCTTTCATCATTTCTTATGGTACAATAGTATTCCATCACCTTCATATGCCATAACTTGTTCAGTCATTCCCCAGTTCCTTGCCTACACAAAAAGAAATGCTATGAGTATTTTTATACATTATAGGACTTTTTCCTCTTTCATAAAGGTAAGTTATAGGGTAGGAGTTGTTAAATATTGTTTCATGTGCCACGGACCCCCTTCTCAGAATACTGTTTTTAAATGCATGATCACAATACAGTTATCAAAATTAACAAAAAAAAAAAAAGTACACAGACTCCAGCGTAAGAATCCATGTTGTGGAAAGAATTCCTGCAATAAACCAGGTGTTGGATCATTTGAGGTCCCTTTTAGGACTTAGACTCTGTGTTGCCCAGGCAGGAGTCACTGTCTCAGGGTGAGGGAAATCACAGGGCCCATCTTGCTATTGCCAATGTGGGGTCATTTCAAGGGCACTAGATTGTAGCATTTGGTTGAGACCCAAACTGGGG